CAATATGTGTAAAATTACATCAAAATATTTAAGATCATAGAGCCTGCTGATTTTGAGCTATTGAGATGCAATTTTCACATATGTTGTAGATAATGACATGACGAATACCTTATACTTGAAGAGTATGTCAAAAATCTACTACTGAAAAGTACCAGAGGTTTGTTTCAAGAAACTCCATGTATTTGAATGGACCATGTGGTAATTCCGGCTGATCTGGATATCCCTGTCTCCTTACTGGTCGAAACTGGGGAGGGATCTTTAGGAGATTTTTACATCAGCGGATAGAGAACTGTTAGTTCTGTCTTCATATTCAATAGCACGCTTATCCGATTAAAAACGCCTTAGAAATACGCAAAATATAAAATCATATAGCTTACAATTATATACTTGTTAAACTTTTATATTATATTAATCTAAAAACTTTTAAATGGAAATTAAACGTAATTATACTAAGAAACTTTGTACAAGTGGCCGAAATTACCCCATACGGCTCTACTGCCGATCAGTTAAATAAAACAATTTTTACGAAGTACAGTTATAAACAGCGACATTCATTTTTATACATCTAAGACAAAACAGATTGATTAAAATTTCTGTTATTCATTTTATCACATGATAATCGAGATAGACAGAATGAAGATATAATGAAAAGCATTGAACTTTTTGGACTTGTAAGTATTATACTCATACTTTGATATCCTGTATGTTAAATAGAAATCTACTCAAGATTATGTTGAAATTTCATTTGATTTTTTCTAATTTTATCTATCAATTTTCACAAGTGAATATATTTGTTAACTTGTTAATAAATTAAAAAGAGAGACGTTTGAACTATTTCACAGTTTTTGTTTGTCTTGACATAATTATCTATATCGTTGTGTGTAAGTGATTTAGTGGTCCACTTAGTTTTATTGTTTATCCTGTACAGTAGGTGCACAAATTTTAGGAGATTTTTACATCAGCGGATAGAGAACTGTTAGTCCTAGCTTCATATACAATAGCAGGCTTATCTGGTTAAAAACGCTTTAGAAATACGCAAAATACTAAGAAACTTTGTGCAAAACCGGAATTACCCCATACGACTCTATATTTTCTTCACTTCGTTTAAAAATTTTATGTGAAAAGATTTGTATGTCAGTACTATTAGATCTATAGTCATATCACGCATATCAATACCACAGAACTTGATGCATAGAACAACAGGAAGCTAATAATTTCGACAATAAATAAGATTATATTTTTAATATATCACAGAATTAAAAATCTAGTTATACTCAGAAACAGGATAGCATTGAAAAAGCTTCATAAACGACTTTTTTTTAACAAACATATTCAGACAAAACGAAGACAACTCAAAAGATCAGATTTTGTGTGATTAACTAAGCGCCATTGGATCTTTCATAATTTAGAATAAATCTCATGTAATTACATGCGAAGTAAAAACAGAAAAGTACACTAATAAACTCATATTTTTCGAATTCATAACAAATACACACGCAAAAAAAAGTGGGACTTAAATAAGCGAACAACAGTGAAAGAAAGAAAATTAATTTATACAGATAGAAAGTATAGAATAGAAAAAGTAATATCTTTCATTTCAATACCAATCCAAATCAGGTATATCATCGAACGTAAATCCTTTGTAGCCTTTCCAGGCATAATAGGCTATTCGAACGTGATAAAAGCCAGGTAAAAACACTATTGTACCAACTAATATTAAAGGCCATGTACGATCGCTATACTAAAAAGCAAAATAGACAGAAAAAACAATATTTTAGAATTTTATGCAACGTATCATGTACATTATACCTGTGTTTTAATGTATCCCGTTAACATTAAAGCACCAAGGGAAATCATAACTGATCCACAAATAAACAATGCAATTGCCAATACTATTGCTCGTACTGGCGGTTTTACTGGTTTTTCTTTGAACTAAACACAACAATTAAACTCAATATTATTCATTAAAAATTTGTCTTACTTGTAAATCTGAATACTGTTGTTCTTCTTTAAGTCGATAATACGGTGGTGGTCCATTATCTTTATGTTTAAATAAATGCCTGAAAAATACACAAAAAATCATAATTAAAATGTGTGAAAAAGTTGTTATTTAGTAACATTGATCCCATAATAATACATGCAATTAACCAATTATATAATCATAATTCTCAGTTATCTTTAGCTACTTTTTTATGAAAGATTTAATGCTGCTAAACAAACAGATCATATACCTTCAGCATAATTTTTTAAAAGATATAAATTTTGAATAGGAGAGATATTTAACATATTTTGATTTCGATAATTTTCTGAAAGTAAGCTTGAAACGTTTTTAGAATTTCTTCTTCATTAGTTTTTATCTTTTTAAAAATATTCAAGCGTTGTGATGATTTTCTCCCGTTTCATACAGCTGATGGCCTTTTTTTCCCACAAATGTAATTAGTAGAGTTAAAGAGCCGTGCAAGCATTTGATCAAACGAATAAAATAAATAAATAATTAATCCCTGTTAACGCTTATTTGAGTTATATTTACTTTTTCATTTCAAATGCTACATAACTAAAATGATATAAATATCAACATAACAGAAAAAAATTACATACAGAACAAAAATGGAAATTTTTACATTTAATTATTTTCTACTTTTACATTACCCGAATGTTTATCCCCGGAGGGGATTTTTTTTCCAGGAAAAATGACTACTAAAGTGAACCTCTTGAGTGCTCACTATGCCCATCTATACTTAAAATAAAATGAATTTGCCCAGGTGACAGAATACAGAATGTCCACAGACGTGGGTATTAGGGGTGAACAAAATGAAAAGCCCAATTGTTTTCTCTTTGTTGTTCGAACTGGTTCTGTCAAAATTCAACATTTTGACAAAAACAAGGTCATATTCGGAATCAGGATCAAATACTGGGTCGAATGACATGGGTCTCAGGATTTTGTGAATATTTGGAGTTTGAGTGAGAATTTTGGTTTCGGATTTTTGAAAAAAAACGAAAAACTTCAAGGTCATTCAAAATTCCTGAGACCCATGTCATTCGACCCAGTTTTTGATCCTGATTCCGAATATGGCCTTGTTTTTATACAAATAGTGAATTATGACCGAGAGAAATGGTAAAAGACAGTCCCAATTTCAAAGAGTTCTTCACTAAATTCATAAAAATTGAATTTTTCGACAACGATGTAAAAGTTTTCATTAGCGATACATACATTTTTCTCTCATATCAGTTAGAATGAAGTATGAAAGAAAATTCTTCTAAAATCCTCCAAATCCTGGGACTAGATAAGTTTACAAGATTTGTCAGCTGGTCTTTTACCATCCTGCTCGTCTTCAACGGTTCTCGAAGTTAATTTGAGTTTTAAAATTTCCAAAATCTGTTTTCCAGACACAGTTTCTGATGAAGAGTAAGAAAAAAATTATTTTGAAATTTTAAAAGTAGAATGATTGGTTGAATTTTGAATTTTATTCAAAATTTTGCCGATTTTCACCTATTTCTTGAAAATCGATAGTTAAAATTTTTTTAACTGAAAAGTGTGTTCCAAAATTCGGGGATTAAGTTTTTCCTATTCAACGCGATTTGCTCTATCCAACCATGGCAAAAAAACGAAAAATAAAATTCTGCATCTTACAAGAAAAGAAGCGAAAAAAAGGAATGTGTATATGTTTAAATTCTAGTCTTTTCTACGTCACTTCCCACTAAAGTCCACAGGTGTGGACATTTCATTACTGGACACGATGCTTCAAAGTAACTTGATAGAAAATTTATTTTCCTGTATAATTATAGAGAGGGTTCCTATAGCAATAGTAATCAACCATTACATTTAAGAACCTTTGTATGGTTAAATCTATGGAAAAAGTTGTTAAAAAAACTTCAATCATTTGCAACTCTTTGATTTTAAAAATTAATTATCTCGGTCAAGATCCATCAAAAGAAAACTTTTATTTTACCAATCAAGAGCTTATGAAGTCTTTTAGGTTAGAACAAAATCCGGTTTTGATACAATGCTTTGTTATTTCTGTATATCGATTTTAACATGGACATCCGGAGGTAAAGGGTTAAGGAAAACACCGTTATAACAAAAAATTTTGTCAGAAATTGATATGTTTTACTGATGACGATCACTCTCTAATAAAATAGTTTCTCGTCACTTACGTTTGCGTTGATCCATTTTCACTAATTTTACTCGATTTTAAATACTCGAGCAATAATTTCTCTCGTTCATCTTTATTATGATTTTTTCCTACTGATTGTTTATTCATAATCGCTATATGAATACATAAAATTCTTACAATAACAACACATACTTAGAGCTACAACAAACAGTAGGGGAAAAAAATCGGGATATTAGAATTCCTTTTTTATTCATCATTTCTTTTTTATATATTTCTGCTTACCTAATCGGACTTTTGAAACGCTAGAAAAAAAAGAAAATAGAAAGGAACAAAGAAAAAAAAAACAGAACAAAAAATGTGTCTGGTAATTGTCTGTTGGAAGAAAGAGAGAGTACACACCTTTTGCTTTTTTTCTTTTGATGGGTCTACAGTTGTTGTTTCAAGAGAATTTTGATCAGAATTATTTTCTTGTAATTCTACTTGATTTACATTAGCATGTAAATTATTATTATCATTTGAATTCATCTCGTCTGTTACTAAACTTGTTGTTGTTGTTGTTGTTGTACTATAACGATTTTTTCGAGAATACATTCACTATTTTAACTTTTTTTGCTTCACCTCATATAATCATCACCACATCGTATATATGTGTGATAGAAAACAAAACGAAGACACAAAAGTGAATTATTATCTAAAAATCAAATGTCAGACTTGAATGGAAAAAAATATTTAAAAGAACAGATCATCGAGTTGACAGAGTACAATTCATTTCAATAATAATACTTCCATATATAAACGTTACCTCAGAGAATGTCAAAAATCATTTACCATCAATAGTGCAAAATTTACTTTGTCGACTTAGTCACGTAATTCTGTTACCGAAGTAGATATTTTCATATATACAAAATTCGAATTTATTCAAAGAATTTCAGACGTCCTGATTGGTAGAATGAAACTGTACTTAATGATTCTGAAAGATTTTCACACTCTATACAATCTTCAAATTGACAGACACCTCGCGAATACTGAGGAACACTTTTATCACTAAAAATATGTTTCAAAATGTTCATCACAGTTCATTCTAAAAATCAAAAAATTCGAAGAGTTTTGAGCATACCTTGATTTGAGATGTATAGAGAGAGTAAAAAATAGAAAAAAAACATGACGAAATTAACGGTAGCAGAGTGAAGTGTGACCAAGTCTAACAAGAACAATGACAAAGAAGAACTTATGCAAAAGTGAAATAAATACAATACGAATTTCATTTAGCAAAAATATTTCATCATCATTTTTGAAGACCTAAGGTATAACATGCATGGTGTGGAGTGAATCGATTGACGTATCAGAAACAAGAAAATGACGTGATTACACTTTTTTATTATAAAAAAAAAAAATCAACCAACAAAGTGAGGAAAAATTAAAGCATCAAAAAAACAAAACAAACGCTATATCACATAGAAAAAAAAGAACAACAGCCAAGAAAGATAATACTTTATTTTTTTTATAGATAATTTATGACATTGAGATTAAAAATTGACTGATTCATTGATGCGCGTATGTATACAATAAAACAACAGAAAGCAACCTTACATCGAAACTAATATTCTCAAAATTGCCAAAATAAAACCACTATTAGTAAATAGTCCTTATTCGAATCCTCAAGATATTACACTTAAAATTTGTTATGTTAAGTTTTTTTCTTCAAAAACATGTTTCTATGCCTTCTTGAATTTTTATTTTCTCAAATTGATTAATAAATACTTTAACTCTGATTTTCATATTTTCACTTTGATTTATAGCAAAAAAAGAATTATAGTAACGATAAAGGAACAGAAATTGGCTTCTACTGCATCTATGTCGGTCTTAATACAGGAATTTTTGAATTGAATATTACATTAATGGAAGTAAAAAATTAGATACCCGTTGTAATAATTCTCGAAAACGAAAATATTCATTTTGAGAATATGTTATATCACGGAAGATGATGCATGCAAAACTCAACTTTTGTCATACTCCGAGATACAAAATAAAACCCAACACACTGTTAACAAGAAAAAAAAAAGATTTAAAACTAAGCACACGAAAACCAAAAATGACTACAACATGCAATGAATTATAGTGATACACATTATAGACAATGAGAAACAAAAAAACCAAAAGATAAATGTCATGCTCATAAAATAATTTATTTTTCTGTGTATCTATCTGATAGCGTGTCTAAAAGAATCTTTTTTTGATGTATATAATGAATGATAAAAGCGAGCAAGTATTTAAACGAAATTATTTGGCAATTTGTTGACTAGTTAGACAATAGTTTATAGTTTTTACATGTAAAACAAAATGAAAATAGAGAGAGACTAGTCAGCTACTGTTTGCGTGTTTATAATTTAATATTATCTGACACCGATAGAAAAACAAGAGAAACAGCAGAAAAAAAGTCATTATTACTGCAGTGACCGTTGTATATACGCAGGGAAAGCGGGAGAGAGATTCAAACTAAACGATCAAGAAAAACAGACAATTTCATGAGATAAAAATGATTTAATTTGAAAGTAAACATATTTTCTTGGAATAATGTTGTAAGTATTTCTCACATTAATACACAGGCTCGTTTTCCATTTTGCTTTTTTCCATTTTTCTTGCCTTTTGTACGATTCTTTTTATCTTTTCGGCTACGTTCTTTCTAAAAAAGAGACAACAAATAATACGTATAAATTATGCTTATTCTATACAATAACCTTACGTTAACTAATATCTCTCGATTAGAATCGTTTTGCTCCAAGCTCAACCTTCATATTACACGAGACATTTAGAGAACCGATTATTACAGGCAACTATTCTTTTGCTAAGTAGTTTTTATTAAATGCTAAGTTAATTTTTGTTAATTCCTACTTTAGTAAGCTATATTTTTGTGCACCTAGGGGCGGTTGTGGGGGGAGGTGCGTGGAGAGCATGAGAGGGGGGCACTAAATCACATTTCTGCAAAAAATGTAATTATTTTTAATAAATTACTTAGAAAAAAATAACTTTTTACTTAGCATTTAATAAAAATTACTTAGCATTTAAATGGGAGCTATTATGGAATAGCGCAATAATCATATTAGATGTTAAATGATTCTATATTTTAACGAGCAACACTGTAGTCAACAAAAATATCAGAACACAGAAATCAAACGTATAAATAATATTATTCGTCTTTTGAATCTATTTCTTTTAGAAAAATAGCCAAGATCTGAATTATTCAATATACTTGGAAAATACTTGGCATTCTGCAAAGAGCACATCAACTTGTTCATCTTTATCAGTGTTTTTTATCGTAACTGAGAGCAATACTAGACCAAATTATAAGTTTTACATACATGTTTCCTGATTTCTCGAACAAGTGTATAAAAAGCATCTTCTACTCCTTGTCGAGTTTTGGCTGATGTTTGTACAAATGGCATATTTAATGCTGAAGCAAAATCTTTTGCATTTGACATATCCACTGTACGAGTGGGCAAATCAATTTTATTTCCAACCACTAGAATGAGAAATGAATCAATAGTCATTGCATGTAACTGACAAGGATGAATGAAGATACTTACACACCATCGGAATATCATCAGCATCTTTTACTCTTTTTATCTTAAAAAAATAAATAGAAGATAAATAATTGTAATATCTAATTAATTGATTTGTAAGATCAAACAACATGACAAATAGATGTGAATGTATAAGACAAATTGAGATGAGACCATAATTCTTCGATGCTGAATAAGATATTATTTTACCTGTTCTCTATATTGTTTGATTTCTTCAAATGATTTTGAATTATTAACAGCAAATACACATAGAAATCCTTCACCGCCTCTCATGTATTGATCTCGCATTGCACTGAAATAAACAAATAAACAAGTGAAAAAAAAGCATTACACATCTTATTTCATAAAATAACCTGTATTCTTCTTGGCCAGCTGTATCCTATTAATGAAAAAGAATGAAAAAATGAAAACAATTTACAACTTAAAAATATATTCCTTATCTTACCAAGATATCTAACAAACATGTTTCACCATCGACAACAGCCTGTTTACGGTAGGAGTCCTCTAAAAAACCACAGAACTAGTCATGCCTTGTCAAGAATGACCAAACTAGTATAGATTGCAATGTTTCTTTCTTTTAAACTCTCAATTTGACAATATTTATTTTAAGATCTTATATGCGTCTCCAAAATAAGAACGTGTAATGATTATATTGGTGAATAGAAGAAAATCTTAATAAAATCATCTCACAGATACGACTGGATGCTTCTACGTTCATAGGCTCTTTTGTCCGCTTGAATTTTAACATTAATAGGTTCTTCTTCTTTCTTAATGATAAACCAAGACTTACCAATTGTTGGATCGTATTCATCGATGAAACTTTAATAACACACAGAAAATAAAAACAAAATGTTAAACATGAGTAGAAATGTATAAACAAAGAATAGATTTCTCACTGATTTTGTATTAATTGAATTGTTAGTGCACTTTTTCCCACACCACCAGCTAGAAAAGAAATTCAATGTTCAGAAGCAAATTTAAACTTATATTCAAAAAATTACACACCTCCTACAACAACAAGTTTATATTCTGTCATCGCACAAATGGTGTTGTTATATAATCGTTTTCGTTTGAAGTGCAGTGAACATCAGCGTGATAAATACAATATAACGGCAAAAAAAATTAGAGTCTAAAAAATCAAAATATTAATTTAGTTTACTCTTTTCGATTCTTTTGTTTTCTTTCTTCTTCATCGTCATCCTCAAATCCCTAGAGAAATTGCATAGTGTACAGACAGAGATAATAAAAAAAAGATTGTCTCATAGGAGTTGATCATCTCAAAACAAAGAACACAGTATTTTAACCTTTCTTAACTATTAATTTATTAATTTAAAAAAAAAGAAGCAAACGCTGTTTGAATTGAGGATTTGATTGAGATTCGTTTTAGAAACAGTATAGTACTATTAATAATGAAAGAAAGATGAGGCAGATAGCGAGAGGGAAACTCTGATAGATAGATTTGCGTTTCAAGTTCACCAATGACTTGATCAAGAAATTTCTCCAAACGTAAGTAATATTTTTCAAAATTTTCTCTTTAAAATTAGAACTAAATGATTTCTTTAAGTTCGAACAGCCTTTTAGTTGAAATGCAGAAAATAAACAATAAACATATTTTAAAGCAACAATGCACAAACGATGCAATCGACGAGACAAAACCTTTGGACTAATATTTAAGATGTTCCATCTCGTTTATTATATTTGGCTTTCCAAGTGTTTGCGGCTTCATGAAGTGGCTCATTTATCCATATCTCGTCCATGTGGTGAAACCAGAAATGTGCGACATCTCTCGGTGAAGCAACAAAATACTGTACAAGGGAGCTTGAAGTTCTTTGTGTTCTATCTGAAAATAAAAACGATTGATTTAATAGTCCATTTGAGTGATGAATGCAAGGACGTGGAGATTTTTCGCATTTTTTTCTATTAATTGTAAAAATAACACAGCTGTGATAGTCATTATTTTTCAAAATTTGTAGTTTAGTAGGGTTAAACCTACATACGATGCACAAGTGATGCAGGAAGTAAACATGTACTCAATATCTTTGCAAAACCTTAACCCTGATTTCATTTTTTTCACTAAGTATTCTCTAAAAACATCCTACTCAAGATCTTGACAACATTTCCTTCTGATATCATCTTACTTAGCTTTTAATTGAGATATATTGACATTCTTTGACTTTTTAATATTTTTTATAAAACTAGGTGCATTTAATATAATTGAAAAACATTGTCGTAAAACCATTTTACATAAAAAGCGAAGGTTCGATACTTCACAGTATCATCATCAGGCTAATATGACTGTCAAAAACGATTATTAAATAATGAAATTTCTTGACTTAAAACCATTCTTAGTGAGAATAGCTATCCATCCAAATTATTAAAACGAGCTATCAAAATTGACACTACGACAGACACATCGTTGGTTCTTTAAAACCAGTTGACAATTCCAAGGATAAGTTTGACACGAATATTTGCTTATAAATATTACCTAGGAAATGAATAAAAAAATTCCTTTTGAGTTTAAAAAGAATTCTGAATAAGCTCGGTATTACAAACGCAGGATTTGGATTTCGAAAGTATCAAACACTCGTTAGCAAATTCTCACTGAAAAATTCAAGACATCAAGATCTTAGTTACAAGAAGTTTCACTAGGGTACAGGCATTAGAATGAATTAACATGAGCGGAAGATAGAGAATGATGATTTGTTTTCAAAAATATCTGTACAGACCACTCAAAACAAACATACTTTAAATCTGGAAGAACTATGTATATTGGCATACAAAAAAAAATTAAATTAAAAGATATCAAGAACAGACACATCTCGGAGGGCTAATCAAGAAAAACTGAACTTTTTTTTAAAAAGTGTTGTTTCACTGGTTTATTTTTGAAAAATGCGTTTGCTTTTAGCGTTTCTTTGAAAAAAAGACATTTTTTTAGAGCGCGTACGGATCTTAATGTATATCGTGTTACAATTTATTTTGTCAATGCGTACAGTGTGGGAATCCCTACATCTCCACCAAATGTCAATTTTTTTTCACCTTTATTGGGAGATAAAATTTAGCTTCACTAAAAAAGGAGTATCACTTTACAGAACGGATGTATTTGACTGAGGGCTCACCATAAAAGTGATATATTGTTTTCAAAAGAAAAAAAGCACACTGCTTTCTTAAACATACATACCAGAAATAGTCTTCACTGAATGTAGTTAACTTCTCTTATTTTCCCTGACCTATGTTAGTCTATTTATACAAAAGTTTTCGTTATAAGAAGAAAATTCGAAAAGTATACACATTTTTCATTTTCAAACAAACAAACAACCACTTGACCATTGAATACATCGTCCCGTACATTATTTTGTGTATTATTGTTTTATCCTACACTGTAAAAAATAGAGTACTATAAGAAGTGTTTTTTATGAAAACTGTTTTGCTATAAAGCGCATGGCTAAACATAGCCCTTTCAGGTATAGAGAAAATAAATCACTTTTAATCTGCTGTAAATTAGAGCACTTTCAAAAAACGCGCTTTCATAGTGATAACAAAGAGAGCATTTTTAAAAATGTATAGTAGAAAGATGTTTTTGAAGTGACCAAGACAAGAGAAAACACTGTGACAAACCGTGTGACATGAAGCATTTTTTTGAAAAGACACTTTTTAACGTCATGTTAACAAGTCATTTATCTCTTTTATTTTGATATTACTACTCGTATATATGTAGCGCTGATTTTCTTCGAATAACTTCGAAATTTTTCTCTTGAACGACTATACAAGTCATCGAAGCTTGTCTTGAAGAGGTAGCCTTAGCCTATGGATTAGTATTAGTGATAGTATCAGGCTTCTAAGACTGATACTAAGAATAGTTCCATGGTTCAAAGGAACCAAAAATTAACAAAATTGGAAAATCATATTTATAAGTTCAAAATCAAATATAATGACATTCAACAAATGTCGTTCGAAAAAGTGGGCTAGAGAAGAGCACTTTTAAAAGCGATCTCTTGTGGTGCTGATCCTATTTGTAGCGGTCTTTATTTGGTTTACTTTTTGAGTGACCACTGGAGAGTTTTTTGCAAGTGGTTTTCTTTAAAGCACTTTTCAAAGTGTTCTCCAGTCAAACACTTCAAAAGCATGGCAAAACAAGACCGCTACAAATAGGATCAGCACCACAAGAGTGCGCTTCCTTGAGTGCGCTTTATAAACTTCGACTTAGTCTAAATATCTTTCGAACTGCATCTAAGAGTCCTGGCAAGCAGACAGGTACTGTTCAGTTCAAAATTTCACCGATATGGACTTTGACTAACCGACAGTTTTACTACACTCAAAAGAAAAATGAAAAAATGTTCAGAAGAGGATTTGTACTCATATCGCTTGCTCAGTAAAAAAATCGTCAATTAACCACGGTTAACCGAGCATTTTGTGCCGGTTCGCGATTAATTGCGGTTAGTCGGACGGTAAAGCGCACACTCAACCGGACGGTTAACCGAGGTTAATTGGCAGTTTTTTGCCGGTTTGATAAACATGGGTCACGTACTTCAAAGGCACTGTGTTCGAACCTCGGCGCTAGCAAAGTCATGTTATAATCTTGGGCAAGTTACTTATGTCTTAGTGCCTCAGACCACCCGTCTGGCAGTATACTCATTACGTTGTGACGTACAATACAGCGTCTCCGGCTAGTCCTGGTGGCTTGCCGGAAAGCTAGTACGTGGTTGTTGAAGTGTGTATGGGAGCTCAAGTAATTGGGCGAAGGTTAGGCTAGCCTTCTGGAGAGAGCTGTGGTTGATGACTTATAATGAGATGGGTGACCATTTCAGAACCTTGTCAACTGCAGGGAAGATATAGAGCTATTGAAACTGCCACGGTAACACCCTACACCGGTGGTTGCAAGGCGGGGTATTCTTCTTCTCCAAACCAAAAGTATATCATTATGAATTATCATATTCTTAATAAACTGCTCCTCAAATTAACCATAAATATTTCAGCAAAAGTAGCAACAGAAGGTGAACCCATTGATACCCCTATTTTTTTGTACTTGTTTTATGATAAAATTTTCTTATTTCATTAGTGCTTCGTTTCACCTCGCGACAGGGTGTTGCGATGAGCTTGGTGTGTAGAAAGTGAGTACTTTAGTTCCAATACCTTAGTTCCACCTAGAATCAGTCTCAATGACCAGTATATTTTTGGGAACTTGATTTTTTTTCTGTTTGAGTTAATTAATCATTACATGATACTTCAGAGAGTCTACTTTGTGCAGTACTATGGCGTGTAAAGCACAAGTGTATATCTTTTGAAGAAATAATTAATAATGGACTATCATACTGCAGTACGAGTATAAGAAGTCACTTCATCGATATTTATATGTAATATTATCGCACTCAGTTGCTATACTCTGAATAACGTGCAAATTCTGTATGAAGCAAACAAAAAAGGTTTGTGATTGTTTTAACTTTTTCTAATTATAGTTTCATTCAC